GTTAATTTGTTAAAATTGTTATTGTTCTGATGTGTTGTTTTACTTTTACTATTTTTTGTTTTTATACTCAACAACAAAAGTTACGCAAGTCATACAGAGCTACTTAAAGACTCAGGAATTTAGTAACCCATATTCGCTAGAATGTAGGCCATGACCGATTTTTTTGTATTCAGTAATGTTGTGAGCTCATGTCACCAAGCTGAAAACATGCTCGAAAAATAAAATGAGGTCACAATATGGCGGCGAAGAAAAAAAAATGCAAACTGAGTATTTTCTTGAGCATGCCAGTAGGTGAGCAGTTTTTATCCTCTGAAAAGTGATCACCAACCGATGGGTATAAATTGACAGGACGTAACGCTTCCTTCAGTTGAGTGTTCAGTTGACTCATCAAAGCAAACCGGAAAAGGGCTATCGGCAGATTCCTAGCGGGAAAGAGTAATAATATAGATGGATCTATTGCCATGGGTGTGTCTCTCTCAACAATATGTCGACTCCGAAGACGTTTTCAAGTTACTGGACGTAAACGTGATGCTCACAGAGCTGGCCGACCACGAGTGACATCAGTACGCCAAGACCGTGTCCCTCTGCGGAATCACCGGCGAGACAACTTCATGTGTGCTTCCGAATCGGCCTGAAATCTCGTTGGAAACCATGGGAGAGCCATTCCATTTCAGTTTCAGGTCAGACTGTACGTGCGCCGCTGGCTTCGAGAAAGACAACTGCAATGTCGCCGACCTTTGAGACGTACAGTCCTCTCTGCCAGACATCGGCAGCAATGTTTGGCGTGGGCTCACAACTTGTGATTGGACCTTGCAACAGTGGAGAAATGTCCTATTCACTGACGAAAGCCATTTTTGCGTCATTCGAGGAGATGGAAGAATCCGGATATAATGGAGATCCAACCAACGGTTTGCCGACAACAACGTCCTGCGGGTTGATACATGGGGTGGTCCCAGCATAATGATCTGGGGCCCAATCAGCGTAATCCAACACTTGGGACCCGTTGTTTTCCAGAACATTTAACGTGGTTGAGGTTAGTGTTAATGAACACCGCTACATCCAACAGATACTGGCGCCTGTGATCATACCTCATTTCCAGAAACACCCGAACCTTATCCTTCAACAGGACAATGCTCAACCCCATACTGTAAGAGCTACAGCAGCCTTCTTACAGCAGAACAATGTCAGGATGCTGCCATAGCCCCCAATGAGCCCAGACCTCAACCTGACCGAACACTACTGGGACCACACCCAAAGAGAACTTAATCGTTTGCAGCCAAGACCAACAAGAGCACCTCAGCTGCAGCAAACCATCACACGAATTTATGCAAATGTGAACATGGCCATCATTCACAGACTTGTGAGGTCAATGCCAAACAGATGCCAAGCTGCTGTGAACGCAAATGGCGGGCACACACGCTGTCAATTTAAAGTTGACATCACCGGCTTATGGACATACCCTTTAATTTTGGGGTTACATCATTTTTCACAGCAAATTCAACTTGTTTTCTCTCCAACGAGGCTGTTAAGCCTTGCAGAGGAATCCTCTCCAATAGATGAGACAAAAAAATCAATAAAATCACAAATTACTTACCAATGTCCTTATCTTCCTTTATTTTGTATATCACTTGAGTTTCTTTTGTTGTTGAGTTTAATATATATGTAGTTTGTACACTATGTGTAACTACAAATGATATTCTGGATTCTGGACAAGAAATTGTGGTGCCATAGATTACGTTACTTATATCAACAAATTGCTATACGTCGTCACAGAGAGATGATAGTTTGAAAATTAATGGCTACTGTTACGGCAACTTTTGGGCAAAAAATGGCAACAAACGCAGATGCTAGATCTACGGGCTACGGGAGTCTACCACTAAAACTAAATTTAAATCAGCACTTAGAACGTATTTGTTTCAGTCCAGCTTCAAATCTGTAATTTCCAACATTCCAAATACAAATATTATTATGTTGTTTATTCATGCTGTTGTATTCTGTAAGAATTAATTATGACTATGAATTCATCAATGTGTGCGAGGGTGTAAGGGTAAGCTTTGTGGGATTGTCTTTATTCAAGGATGAACTGGAGAGAGAGTTTTAGTTTTAGAAAGAGTTTTATGGCACTTGCAACACAATAAGGTCACACAAGTGGCGAAGATTAGAGGTGTTACAAGTGAGTAACAAACATAAAAAAGAAGGCGAAATCAGGACGATAGAAAGAGCAAACCACACCAGAGCACCCGCCAACCACCCACCTGGAGAGAGAGAGAGAGAGAGAGAGAGAGAGAGAGAGAGAGAGAGAGAGAGAGGATTACTATAGGAGCTGTATTATTGCACAGCGCATTGAGCACTTCTTTGTGGAAATGCGCTATAAATGCAATTTATTATTATTATTATTATTATTATCATTTGGGAGGCAGGCTTCAGCCCTGAGTCTATCATGTGTTTATAAGTACAAATACCATGTAGCCTACCAGGACCCGCAACCAGCTGCATGTGTTTTAGACTTAGTGGGTACATGTAGTTCTATTGTCACTGAATGTTACGTCTTCAAACGCCACCGGGATAACTGCAACAAAAGATGCCCCCCCCCGCCTCTACACACAGAGAAAGAGATGCCACGGATCGACAAAGATGGAGTGTGGAATCTCGACGGCCCAGGGCAGCAGTAGAAAGGAGAAGCAAGAAATGTACCTAAACTTTCGCAACATCAGGCATTACATGCCATCAAAATCAGACGTCCAATGTCTGGAACCTGGAAGACTAAAGGCCTATAGGGGCAGTTGAATCACTTGGAAACAGGGGACTGGTGTGACATGGGCGATTGGTTTACTGAAGGATTGAAACACTTTGCAGTAACCTTTCAAACTCGGCACTTTAACATAAGGTGTATAAAAGGCTGTTCTGCATAAAGGGATCAAAAACTGATTTTAGACAATTTTTCAACTTAGGCGGTTGAATCAGTCAATCACGCGGTTAGCGACATCTATCTATCCATATATATATATATATATATATATATATATATATATATATATATATATATATATATAGAGAGAGAGAGAGAGAGAGAGAGAGAGAGATGTAATAAAAGTCACAAACTATCCAGCAACAATGAAAATCACCACAATGAGGTTTTCATAAAGCATGATTAGGAATATATTATGCGGAGTAATATAGGTTTATCCAATGAACAAGCACATTATTTTCATTCCTTTCAAGTTTGTGCTAATACAGAGTGCACACTGACTGCCATTCAAATCAATTTGATACAGTTCGGATCAGCCCGATTTTCCTCCATGGACAGGGCAAAAACTGTAATTTCGACACAATTAGACCAAATTAAACTGCGACCTTTAAAATAAAATGTTTGTTGTTCAAGGTCGTGAATCAAATTGGTCATATCAGGCTAGAATGTTAGCTTTTTTCCCCTCAATCTAGCATCTACGTTTGTCGTGGCCGCGATTTTTGGCAAATGTTGGCCCACGATTTCTCCATTAAAATAACAAAAAAAAAAAAAACTCTCCAAAAAAACAACCCCTCCCCCTCCCCACCGCTTGGGAATAAAAAGTCAAAAAACAAACCCTTGGGAATAAAAGTCGAGAAACTGCAAAAGAAAACATTAAAATACCCAAAAATAAAGAAACCGAACCTCATTAAGTTAATGAGGTTCGGTTTCTTTATTTTTGGGTTTTTTAATGATTAACTTTACTTTTAGAAAGACAAACTAGAAAGTTTAGTTTCACTTCCTCTCTTTCTCACTTGTTGACACCACGTTGATTTGTTATTTTCAATGAAATTTCATGTGAAGAATAAGAACATTACATACTATAATTTATATGTATTGTTGTTTCCCTTTAATTAGTTCCTCTTTATTGTGTTTTAATTTGCCTTGTTATTGTTCTGATGTGTTCTTTTTTCGGTTTTTGATGCTTTTTTTGTTGGGTTTTTTTTTTAAAGGGTTTTTTTTGGTAAGTGTTTTACGGTGCTCGCAACTGCATAAGGTCATATGAGAGTGCATGACCCGTTAAACTTTTTTAGTAGGTAGGAAATTTTGAATTTTGCCTGGGTGGCGACCGAAACCTACTCTTATCGATTTTAGACCACCAACCAAGGGATCTTTAACGTGCGCAACTTGCACACGGGACCTCCCAGAAGATCAGGGGTGGGGCTGAAAGACAGCAGTAAGAAGGATTCAAGCAGTAGCAGTAGATAGGCTGCAGAAAGAGTCCAGAGGAGGGGGCAAAGGAGATGAGGGGGTGGGGACAGGAAGAGGAGACGAAAGCAGACGACAGAACATTGTTAGAGAGCAGGAAAGGAAGTGAAAGGAGACAATTCTAGAGAAGAAATTTTTTTCGGTCGCTACCCGATTCGAACCCGGGACCTTTGAATGAGAGGTGAACACCTTAACCTGTAGGCCACGAGAGCCCCTGTTTTTTATGTCTATATAGCGTATGTTATTTAATTTTATGTTGTTCCTGCCTTTTAAAAAAATGTGTCATGCTCTACCAAAACTGAATACTGACACTGGCAGGCCCCTTGTGTGTGATTCCATTTACTTGTAATAAGTAATATCCTTTACTTTTTCTTGAATTAAACACGTTTAGGGTTAAAACGGCCAATCTTCGGATAGGTTAACACACGTCTTTATTTATTAATTTTTGTAGTTGTTTATGTGCTGTTCTAATTTTGATTTCATTCTATTTTGAAACCTTCATTTTTCACGTTTTTCATCCTATGTGGCTACAAATGATATTCTGGTTGCATAAAACAGAACACAAGAAATTCTGGTGCTTTAGATGAAGTTACCTATGTCAACATAATGCAATATATATACGTCGCCACAGAGAGTAGAAAGCTTGAAAACTAATGGCAACTTTTTGGGCAACTTTTGGACAAAAATATGACAACAAACGCAGACGCTAGCCCAATGAAAGAAAATCTGACCGACCCTGACCAATTAAAAAGTATAAAGCAACAGAAAAAGTAAACAACATTACTACAGAGACAAAAATTTTATTGGAAATTATACCATTCAGTCACCACTAAAAAAAGCATCCCTCTCTACATTTAAACACAGACATTGCCAGATCATTATCAAATGCCAGAGACAGTGAAACGCAAAAATTCCAGATGAACTACCAGCACAAAACATTAGCCCTGTCTATGAAATAAATCATTATGCAGTGAGCAGACAATCAGTTAAGAGAGATCTGATCAAAGTAAATTCACTTCAAAAGATTAAAAAAAAATAATACAGACTTTAGACTGGACTTTTTCTCTGTTAATCAAATTTGAAGAATGATAACAAGTAATTCTATGTCAGTTTACACTATACTTTATAACAAAAGCCTCCAATGAATTATAAATAGTTCAGGTAAGGTTCATCAATGCATAGAATTCACATTATGAATATTCTTTTGTGCCACATGCTTTTATTCAGCTAATCCTTTGACTTACAACAAATACGACTTAACGGCAATAATTAATGATGAACCAAATTTAGTTGCTATTACTAATTAAAACCAAAATCGAGAATGAGATGTGATCATGCAGCAACTTACTAAACAATGTCTATCAGGATACACAAACTGAAAACATTGTGGTTAATTGTGCAAACAACATTCTTTTCAACAGTAAATTAGTAAAGAATGCAATTGTATTCTTAAAAAAACAAAGTGGATTATAACCTTTACGTTACCATCAATCACAACTCACAACTGGAACATTTTTTTTTTATCCATCATTTTTTACCAAACACAAAAACTGTCCCACTCACACATTCTGTCACTTGCAGTAGTGAACTCTGTTATCTGTAAATGTGATGTGAACACACAAATATATCAGACTAGACATCTAGGTATCATATTCTGATCAATGAATTCTACAACAGGGGTCACCAAACTTTTTTTCAAATTGACAGATAGACAAGTGAGGGCTGGAAATCTATTTTGTTCAAAACAATACAATGAATGCAGTAGAAATAAAAGAGAACCAACTTTTTCATTCATCAAAATACAAATAAATGCTTATAAACAAACAAATAATATTATACCCCATTTTGAAAAGTGACGTATGACGGAGTCTTACGCTGACCAGTCGAAACTTAATACAGTTTCAAATCTCTTTCACACACCTATGCTTAGAATTTCTGTTAAACGTTCATTTGTAAAGTATCAGAAGTATCACCTAAGAAAACATTTAGTACAAATACTCTGGACAGACAAAACTATCCATGACATAAACAAAGGAGTACAATAGTTAACTCTTCCGAGGACAGCTGTTCATGCAACAAAAAATCAACTAAACCTGTACATATCACATAATAAACCATCTCTCTCTCTTTCTCTCTCTCTCTGATAGTCACTCAAAACAAGAGTACGACTGACATTTACATTCTACATGACTAGACACGTAACACTAAAATTCTGTTTTTTTAAATTTTCTATACACACTGGCTAAATGTTGTTTATAAACCAAGCATTACCTCATATACAAAAGAGAAACCAATGAGGGAAGGAATGAATGAATGACACCTACAGTGTGTTCATCATGGTACTGCTTACATATGTTACAATACAGGGTCACTGTAAGATGAAGTAAAACATAGGGAATTTTGAAGTAGATCCTAACCGCATCGTCTGCCTCACCGGAAGTCTTCACTTGAGAACATGCCCTGAAGAGAAAAACAAAAACATGACAATGAGATTATACAAGTACTTTAAGCTTCAATAAGAGTTTTACGGCACTTGCAACACAAAAAGGTAATATAAATCTTGTGGAAGATTAGAGGTGTTACAAGAGAGTAACTAACATAAAAAAGGAAGAAAGATATGAGTGATACATGTTTGATGGGACAGAAGGAGCAAACCACACCAGAGCACCCCACCAACCACCTGCACATACTAGTACAACTCGTTCTACAAAGCACAACTGGAGCTGCTCTCTTTGTTTGATTAGTAAGGGTTTTGCGGCACTTGCAACTGCATAAGGTCATATGAGCGCGAGAAACAATTTAAAAAATTTATTCGCAATAGATCACCGCATGGCCTGATTTTGGTCAGTATTTCTAATTAAAAGGTTAAAATGCTAAAAATTTGATGTAAATAAATTCTTAATTTAAAATAACTTTTTAAATAACATTAAAATTTTTTAACGTTTTACACAACTTTCCGTTAAGGCCAATGGCCTTTATAAAATCAAATACTCTGTTGGGATTAATGACAGAAAACAGATTTTGCAATTTGTTGTATTTAAAATACTTTATTCGGGTATCTCCGAAGCCTGTGTGTTTTAGTAAGAGTCTTACGGCGCTCGCAACGGCATAAAGTCAAATGAGCGCGCGAAAAAAAGTTGGCTCTCTCGCAACAGCACATTGCACAGCCCAGTTCTGGTCAACACCTCCACTAAACTGCTAAAATAATAAAATTTGGTGTAAATAAATTTTTTATTTAAAATAACTTTTTTAAATAACATAAAAATTGTAATACTAATTACAGTGTCAATGGCCTTCATAAAATCCAGCATTCTGTCGGGATCAACGACAGAAAACAGATCTTGCAATTTTTAAATCTAAAATATTTCCTTCGGGTCTCTCCGAAGTCTAGACATTCTGTTAAAATATGTCTAAAGGTAAAATCAGTGGCGCATCCGATACAGAACGGCTTCTCATCTCCCGGAAGGAGGTATTTATTGTTTTAGTAAGAATTTTTACGGCGCTCACAACTGCATTTTATGTGTGAGGGACGTGTGTCCGATGCGTAATCGAGTAAAAATGACTTCGTCGACTCATCTGGGGAGGCCCGAAGGTTTTCGTGGACCCAGTTTGGGCTTAATGTTTTGTAGTTTGTTGTTTTCTTGTTTTTTCCAATGAGTCTCCCACAGACTGGAGGTGTAGTTTTTGACTTTATTTTTAAAGTCAGTCTATGGGAGAGTGTTTGTCGTTGATCCCAATAGAAGGGACAAGGATTCTTTCGCCAGCAGGTCCACTTTCCTCGGATGCCTACATGGCCAGGTAGCCACGTGAACACGATATTTTTCCCGGTTTCAGCCAAAGCGTGTATTACATTTTTGTAACCTAACTATTTTTGGGACCAAGAGTGTGTAGTTTGTAAGTGAGGTGATGCAAGACAGAGAGTCAGATAAGATGAAAGATTTGTTAGGAGAATTTTCTACGGACTCCGGTGCCATGTCAATACCATACTGGGTCCACCAACAGAAGGAAGGTGTTACGTAGGGAAGCATCCTGTCTCCTCTCCTATTCGAAATTAAAATAGATTCCATTGTTAAGACCCTCCAAAATAGCATAGACAGCTCGTTATAACGTTGACAACTTCCTGATACATATGCTGCTGCTTGAAAAATCCTCAACTAAGGTCTATGGAAAAGCAGCTGCACAAATTTGAAAAGTGGGCAAATAATAACGGCTTCAAGTTTTCCTCGTCAAAACGGTTGCAGTGCCTTCAGTGCACTTCTGCCGATCGGGCAGACGTGTACTGCAACCGGATTTGACACTATACGGGGACAGGATTCCCTTCTAGTACCAGGCTCATTTCCTCGCCATAACAATGACAGCACATGCTCTATTTAAATATATGTAATACACACAGACACACACATGAACAAGTGTGTAGCCAATATTTATACATGTATCAAGTAAACAAAATTTCAGTGTGGAACTGGAGTCTTGTGTGACTTACGTATTTCAGTCTGTTCTTACTTGTTAATTGTTATATATTTTCTTATTTATATTTTCCCCTCATCATTTAATAAAAAATATATGAACTGTATAATACAAATGAATCCTGCTTTGAGCCTGTGAAAGGGCCTAGAACCAGAAAATCGACTGCCAAGAACCAATCTTGTTGTCATGATTCATATATTATAAACGTGAAAGACAAAAATTATTGCTCAAACTCAAAGTAGAGCGATAACTTGAATGGCTAATCAGTGTGAGAGGTGTAAGAACTGAGAGAGGTCAAGGTGCAGTGACACTGAAAATCTGCCAATCTTGAACAGAAAGCTAAAAAAAATATAATTATAATTTACTATCACCCATCCAATGAAACGCAAACACTTTATTCTGTCAATAACTCCTGATGACTCTGTCGCGAGCAGAAAGTACCGATAATGCCATGAGAGCATTTCTACACCGAAAGTTAAAAAATTTGGCGAGTTTTGAAGAAAAATCAGTATCTTTTCGCAGGGCTGCAAAATTTTTGACATTTTTGCTCCTGAACAAGACCCCAATAATGACCTCCCCAAGTCGGATATATAGATAAATATGACCGTTGAAGACGATTGCAATGTTCCGCATAACATTGCTGTTGATTTTGACGACAGTGGAATTGGCAGGGGATCACCACTAAAGCTGCCTGAGGCTAGATCTACGGCTGGGTCCAAAGATACTTTGACTGAAGTGAAGTCGGGGATCACACACATGACTTAACTCATTGAGTTGGCCCTACAAACCAGTGTTTTAACCTTTTCCCCTTTTGTTCAGACTGTGCATTCATATATAAATAACATTTTCAAACTTCAGTAAAATCTAACAACAATTAAAGACACAGTAAACAAAACAATGAACCAACCTAGTTTTTTCTAGTATCTCACTTTTAATTCAGGATTCTAGGGAGTAGACCTGGGTCGCGAGCGCGAGAACGGAACTGAATCGCCACTCTTGGCTGCGGAATGCAATTCACAATTCACCTCAGCGGAACGCGGAACAGTATAGCCAAACGATTCCCGATTCACTCTCCTGTCGCTGTCACCACCTTTTGGCTTGTTTAACCAACTGCTGAGTCGAGTCATGAGCGCAAGAACGGAACGGAACACTTAGTACGGCTCCCCTTATTTGACAAAAGATGGTATAGTCCAACCCCCCTATTAAAACAAAATGAACGACCAATAGGCAGAAGTAATTTTATGGAGCCATTGTTTTAGCAAATCATGGGGTTGAAACCGGGGGGGGGGGGTGTGTGAATTTATGGGGGTCACTGATTGAGGTCAGTTGATAGAGCAGCGCAACAAAGGGTGTGGGGCGGAGAGGATGGTGGAACAAGAGTGGGACTCGCGCTCGCCTAGTGGCGTAGTTATGATACTGTTCCGTTGACATGACACTGTACCGTTTCAGTCAGTGTTCCACCACATTTCCACGAGCGCTCGCGTACTCGCGATTCTTTGAAGGTTAAGTAAAACCCATGAAAGCAAAATCACCGCATGTGAAATGAAACGTCTCCGCTAAACCCGTAACATCACAAGACGAGACAGGCAGAGAAATGAAGAAGTAATAGCAGCTATCGGCACCGAGTCCTGCCTGAGTTACATAGAAAGACAGAGGATAAAATGGTTTGGCCACCTGTTACGCATGTCACCTGACCAGCCAGCCTTGAGAGCCTACAACACCAAGCACTCAGGCTATAAAGGAAGAGGAAGGCCACGCAAAAGGTGGATCGAGGATGTCAAGGAAACCCTAAGAAAATATAACATAACTGAAAGAGCTGCGGAGCTGGCCTACTATAGAAAACTGCATCTCCCCTTGACGCTTAACAGCAACAGAGGATGAAAAAGTAAAGGTAAAGTAAAAGCACTGACAAATTTCTGTGTGGTAACGAAAACGAAAGTAGATCTTGATTTTCTGGTGGAGCCTCGGTGTCACAAACAATTCCGCTAGCCGCCTTTCCGCGTGAAACTTACTTTAAGACCGGGAAAAGCCGAATGAATATCAAAATCGCGACCAGCAAAAATGAGCTTAAAGACTATATCGGAATTGGTTTCCAAATATTCGAGATCTTCTATGTATTTTCTTGGGTCTCAGCTATTTTTTTCAAATTCCCGGGGCCTGGCAGTCACCTTGCTCCCAGCAACTCTTTCTGATTGGCCAGCTATCGCGGTAGAGGAGTTTAGCGGAGGAAATGGCGGTAGCGGAAATCCGCGGAATATTGAGACCCATGAAAGGTCTCCAGGTGGACCAGTTGATCCAGAGTGGATCGGGTTTTCCTGAATCCGCACTGGAGACTGGTCAGCGAGCCTGTCATCTCCAGAAACCACATGAGTCACCAGTGAATTATTTTCTCTATAAGTTCGTATAGACAGCTCGTTCGTGTTATTGGTCTGTAATTGGATGTGTGTGTGTGGTCTTTGTTAAGTTAGGGTATTGGAATGACAGTGGCGAGACGCCAAGACCCCGGAAAGAAGTGCGACCACCACATGACGTTGTATGTCTAGTAGGAGTGTAAGTGTTTCTGTGGGTAAGTGTCTAATGATCTTGCTGTGGATGTCATCCAGACCTGAGGCTGTATTGCCCAGGTCTGAGATGCATGAGATTAGTTCGTCGTAAGTGAAATCTGCGTTGTCAGTTCCTGTGTTGTTTGAGTGGAAGTTTAGGCATCATTGTCCTTTTGTTAGTTTTGATAGGTAGTTCCACGATACTGATAGACCTACTACTCAAAGATCGTTGTACTACTTTGACAAAAGATGGGACTTGGTAATCGCTGAGTACCATGGCTACGACTCTATTCGCTGAAGTCTTGCTGGCTTCATCACTCTGTACACAGGTTAATTTACGACTGTTCACCAATAAATGTTTACTATCTTCACAGCACATTTACTATCATTTACCACCAGTGAGCCAAATATACGACTTTACGACCTTGCTGGACACTCTGCCCCTGACTCAAGCTCTCCGGCTGGTGGCAGAGAGATGTCCCTTTCTTCTCGCGACACCAAAAAAAGGGTATTATGAGCGGCGGACAAAAGTAAAAGTAAACCTTTAAAGCCTAGAAACGAACATGTAGAGGAAAGGAGCAAAAACATCAAAATTTCTCTGAAGCACTGTATTGGCTCACAATGTTTCAAACTTTGGGAGTACTTCCATCTGATGTTGCACATAATTTTCAAGTGAAGTTTCTTAAAACCCAAAAAAACAATGTTTGGACCCTAACTGGACGCCAAAAACCTGTGTGTGGCCTTAAGCATACCTTTGCTCTCCTCAGAATGGAGTCCTTGGAAGGGTCATAGGGTGCATCTTTGCTCGGAATCTCCAGCACCGCGGGAATAGGAAGGTCATGGGCGTCGATGACGTGGCGGATCATCTCAGCTACCTGAAGTAGAAAATCAAGCCTTGTTGATTCATTTATTTAAGTTTGAGTAAGAGAAGGGTTTATTTTGGCAAGCGTGTAGTGCCCTGCGAGACACAACAGGTCATTTAGAAAGTAAAGCATAATTTAGTTTAGTTTTAGTTTTATGGCGCTTGCAACACAAATAAAGGTCATATAAGTGCCAAAGATTAGAGATGTTACAAGAGAGTAACGTACACAAAAAAAGGTGGAGAGACAAGCAAGATAGATGTTTGATAGGGAAGCAGGAGAAAAAACCACACTAGAGCACCTGCTAATCACCCATAATTACACTACAGACGGTTTTGTTTTTGCAAGTGTGTAAAGCTCCTCAAGAAACAGAACAGGTTAGGTAGCTTAGGAAAACATAATGTAGCTTATTCTAATACAAGTTTAATGGCGTTTGCAACACAAACAGAGGTCATAAGTGACCAAGATTAGAGGTGTTACTGGAGAGTAACGTAAAAAGAAAAGGAGAAGGAAAGATATGACATGGGGGATAGATATATGCAGAGAAGAAGAAGAATAACACACCTACCAGCCACCCACAGGGAGAATTTAATGTCTTGATCATTGATTAGAGACAGGCAGTAAAAAAAACTTTTCTAGGAGGAAAAGAAACTGACTTAATATGGGTTCCCCCCATGAAAATCAGCATGTCCACTTCATCAATAGCCAATAAGCCAAAGCACTAAGCTGAGATTAACACTTTGCTGTCACATCTCGTCGATTGGCCAGAATGCCAAACCTCCACCCCTGTAACAAAACACCGATTGGTGATGTATACCACCCAGTTTTCTTGGATTCCACCCAAAATGCTTGTGATGGGCAAGGGTGTTTAACTATATATGAGCCATGTGATGGCAAAGTATTAGAGGAAGAACATTAGAAAAAAGAAAACATATTGTATTATTCTGCTTAAAAACAAAAACTGGACCCGTTGCTGCAGTACAAAAAGTAAAAAAAACCCTCACATTTTGATTGATGAGAACGATTCCGATGTCTTCACGTCTGAGAAAACTCCTGAATGTTTCTTCAATCTCTCCAATGCTGGAGTCTGAGGAATCAATGGAAAAAAAAATAACAATGCATTAATAAAGCTAAAAGCAAAGTAATATGAAAAACTGGGCAACACAGCATTTTAATTCAAAAGATAATTATTTCATCAGCTGTCCGTAAAGTGATGTACAAGCAGTTTCTGTTACACCACCATTACATTAGTACAGCGGAATCCTGTTATAACGAAAGGAAGGGGACCAAAGCAAAATGTCTGTTATAGCAGGATTCAAGGGAAACTGTAAAGTATGCCTATCTATGAGTTTGATGTTCTGTTTATTTCCCTTTGCTATCTGCCCTGATGATGATTTTGTTCCAACATGACCCCTAGGTCTTACTTGATAAAAAATCAAATCAGGTTTCTTTCTCCAACGCTAGATCTAGCTATGTTGACTGACAGCTCGGCGTTGGCGATCAGAAAGAAAGGGCTCTAGGCTAACTCGCCCGCTGTGTTTTCCCCCACCCCACCACACCCTCCCTACTCAGTTACTCCGGCCTTCATTGTTGACGCACATGGGCTCTCCTATTCTTTGTTTTGCAAGATCAGAAACAAGTTTCTCAACTGGAGAGGTTTTGCATTATGTATAATTGGCCTGTGCGCTGTGCACAGCAGCTGCAATATCCCGCTATAATTGACTCGCATGTTTGTCTGATAGCGTGAAAGCAGTATTTTATTTACACCTGGTAAAGAGGAAAAAACCTGCGGTTTTAGAATAGTGCCTTTATAACAGACTTCTCGTTTTTTCCGGACTCGTTATGAGTGGACTCCACTGTACAGGGAAACCCTGTTACGCCACCCACTTTGGGACGGGCATGAAGTTGGCGGTACAACGGGGCTGGCAGTACAATAGAATAGCACCGATTGCCATCTTGAAAAGTCGTAGACTGGGGGAGACCAGAGTCTGCACAAGTTGTGGCCAGTCTTGACTCATCTAGATTTGCCTTGGGCGTTTGCCATGGGCACGTGAAAAACCTGAAACAACCAATTACCACGTAGGCCCCCTAGGCCTACCATGTACAGCTCCAGCTTTTAAAAATTTATTGGAGCAACCTCTCTGCAAATCTGACGGTCCAGCAGGCACATTTCAGTTTAACCATTTTGCTCTGAGGCAATAGTCCAACAGTATGTCCCGAAATACTATGTTAAAAAAATGTTTTGACAAAACAAATGGGGGAAAAAGGCAACTGTTTTTGGAAAAGAATATTGCTTCCAAAGGGCCCTTTACAGTTGACTATCGGGTTTTCATTCGATACCCATCTATTTCGTCAAATAAAAAAAACAACCCAGCTCCACTAGTACATAAGGTTGAGATCACTTCACGGGACGAATTTTAAAGTATTTTCAAAGTTTCCTTCCAATTGTCCAAGTTTCAACTCCATCCCACCCTCATTCACACACACACATATTATTTTTGGGTTAACTTCGACCATTCAAACACTCAAAGAAAGAAAATCAACTTTAATTTCACTTTACGGTCTCGTTTTCCGTCAACATTCTTCCTCGACCTCAGAAATATGTGCATACAAAGGCAGTCTCGCATGTTTGGCAACTGATACGCTGTGCAACGCCGGTCTAGGTGCAAATCAACTCCGCCCAACGCTGCTCTAGGTTCTAAATGGTAAAACAGACTCCACTGTACTGTAATATAACTAAGGTGAAATGTTTGCGTGGATGAGTCCAATCAACTTACCTCAATGGCTACAAGGCCCATAAAATAAAAACAGAATTTTGACTACAGGAACTCACTTTTATCCACAACCATGTAGTTTGACTGTTTGGTTTTGTTCAGCTCCCCAACGCCACCAAGAACGAAGCCAACACACGTGTCCTGAGGGGAAAGAAAGAGAGTTCTGATCAAATGCAGAATCGACCGTCGTTTTCAGTTTGTATGTTATTTTTGGGTTTCGTTGACACAGTTGAAATCAGTCTATCATGTTTATGTTTTTATTCCGAGCGGAAAGCATGAGTGGTACGATGTTAAGACGGAAAAAGCATTTTAAAATATGAAATTCAACACAAATCGGGCTATCCGTGCCAGGATCATATTCCTAGACATCTCTACCATCTAGTTTATGTGTTTAGAAAAGCCAACTATGTTCCACGAAGTAGAAATATTACTTTTTCTGAAGTAGGGTAACAACCACTTTCGGGAGATCGTCATTCTGCCATTGCGGCTGTTCCATCGCCCATTGCCACCCCCTCTGACTTGACCCAACCAGCAGACGATTATATGATGGTTCAGCAAAAGAAACATTCGATAGATCAGGACATTTATGGCGTCAATTTATTTAAGTGTTATCATAATTTTCTTTTATGATACTTATGAATATCGTGTTTTGAAAAATAAGACTAATCGGCCACCACTTGCCGTGTGAATAGATTGTTATTGTTTGGTGGGAATCACGCGACCTACATTTCCACCACCTCATAGTGAATTAATTGCGATCTATACAAATGTATCGCTTCGTGGTGGTATTTTTGCTGTCTTTTCAACTAAGAACACCTTATTTATTCTAAACGCATCGAAATCTTAGCATCTCTGGTAGACAAAGTGAAAGAATAAAGCCGTGAAGAGTTGAACTGGGAGTTCTATTTATAGTAACATGTCATCACACACTACTAAACACTCGGAAGGGGGTTACCGGGTGTTAGTGTTACCGATGGAAATGTTCGTAGATCTATTGTTTGGCATTTAATTTGGTAACAAAAAAGGCTAGATCTACCTTCTTGATTGGTGAATATTCAATTATTGAATCAACCAGCCTTTTTACGTATTAGACTTGGTTAGACTTAGATGTCACCTGATAATTGGAGAACCCCCCTCCCCCCCCACTCTTTCTTCAATCCACTAACTGGACACACGATGGTACATTGTATTTTTCCCCTGCCACTGGTTTCTTTCTCAGCAAAAATGATAATTAAATCTAGAACTAGACCTGTATTATACAAGATGAACCACGGTAGAACAGTATTTGATTTAATTCCAATTTTTAAACCCCGTGAGCAGAAATCTTAATTTTCACTTGTTATGATGCTTTTTGCCCGAGGATGTACCAGAATTCCCCTAATTTTCTTCCAAGAGGCGTTTTTTGCACCGAAGCCCACTTCAGAGGACTCCAGAAAAGTTACTTGTGGTCTGAGAGGTCACAAAAAAATCAGCTAAGTCCCTGCATGCATTTGTAATGATTGTGTGCTTTTCAGTAATGATTGTGCTTTTCACTAATGAGGAGGCAGGAAGAGGTTGAAATAGGGTTCTGAGCTCTTAATGACAAAATTTGGCTTTTTTCCCTTCAAATTTTGAAGGCCTACATCTTGGAAACCAGTCATTCTAACATACTTTGATTTGGAGATACCAATATTTGTGTTGACAGCTCTGGGAAAAACAAAGTTTTCATTGATTTGATCATGTACTTTGTATTTTAGAACACCTCAAACATGGGTGAACGTCGCAGTTGAAAAGGTATCGTTCAAAAAGAAAACTTTGAAATACCATATCTCGATTGTTTATTGATGGATTTTTATAATTCTTTTTTTAATGTTCTTGTTTTATAGAGTAGATTTGAACCCCTAAGGTTTAAACATCAATATTGTTCAAAAAAAATTTCGCTTGTGGTACCTATAAACAGTGGACCACGCTGTAGCAGATTCTTTCAGACAATCGACGATATCTCAGTAATTTATCGTAGTGTTAGAAAGAAACTTGGCTACCCGATGTGTTTTTGGGTGGAGAAATCATTTCTGCCGTCAGATTTATTAACCATGTCGTAGAATGTTATAATTCAAAATTTTGGTGTAAATATTACGATATTGCGATAAAGGGGTGTCGGGATGAGTCCATTCTATTTTTGCATCTTATCACAACATGAGACCTTTAAGAATATATGTTGGCATCGTGACTAAATAAATGGCAAAGCTTTCTTTGATGACTTTAGACCATGCCAACCATAAAATTTAATTTAATTCAATCTAGCATGCCGTTCAATAAAAAACCCTTTTCCCCGTTGAGACGCGAACACTCCGAGGCTAGACAAGCTCGCCTTGGAATATCCCCATTGCGATGTTACAGGGGAACGGAGAGAAAAACAACCGGAGGCGCGCGCCTGCCACTGCCATATTTCAAGTGACCAATGAACGGGCTCGTAATAGTCATGTGGGGATTTATAGGGCATGCCCCCCCTGACCTAAAAAGAATCTGGGTTTTTTTTGTGGGAGGGGGCTTGCCCTCCAGCATTTCACAACATAATGTTTTGGAATTAGAATTGATATTTACTTAATATTTACTCTAAAATGAACTGACGTGACCCCTTGGTGGGTTTATGACGTATGGCGAGCAAAGAGTTGTTAACCTTGAAGACCTATCACAGTGCATAGTGGCATGAGGCGTGCCATTTTCACGAATTATCCTATCATGAGTCTCAAGATCTACGCTTATCCAGCTGCCCCTCCCCTTCACCTGTCGAAAATTTATAGCTTGCCATCTCTGACCGAGTCCCCCCCCCCCCAACCACACCAATTAAAATTCAGTCTGTCTCGCAAATTCTGGAGTAGAGACAACTGCTGCAATGGTCGGGGAAGAGTTCACGATTCGATGTGATCCCGCCTGGAGCGAACGTATAGGCCCTACCTACCCAGCGAGTGATGTAAGTTTAGGGTGAGAGCTCAGGTGTGAGTGCGATACGTGGGGAAAACAAACGTGTCGGTCAGTTCACACCTCGGTGTGATCCCGTCTGGGGCAAACATTGCATCGCTTCATCAAGTTTTACAACGTGTATGTGATCACATTCACGATAGTGGCTGATCTTTGACGCGACGGACAGTTTATTGATCTCAACTTTTCCCCCTTGGTTGATCGGCTGTGCCCGCCCGAGTTTTTGTTCAGCAAATTATAATCTGAAATGCAGGATCTTAGCTGAATGTAGACCTTTTTAAGAGTGAATCAGAGCGGGATCTTAGGGTGACTTTTATATAGTAAAAATTTTGTTTTCTTAAAACAGCGGGATCTTAAGCGAACCGGGATCGTAAGCGGTGGGATCTTAGGCGGAGACTACTGTACATATAATTTACTATCACCTACCCAATGAAACGGGAACCCTTTAGTTACAAACACACGGCTCACAAGGTTTGAGTATGACAGATCCCGATTCCATACAAGGCCTGCACCAACGCGCGCATTGCAGAGAGCTTGAGATCTAGATAGTAGTAATCAAAATTCTGAAAAGTAAAATCTGCTTCCAAGTTTAGTTTTTGTCATCCGGTGTTGCCTTCACCCCCCCCCCCTTCCCCCCCGTGCGTCTTTAAAAAAAAATCAATAATCCCCCGTCAACCGCAGTAGTTACGACACTGCCATCCGCGAAACGTCAGGACCAGACTTTGACCACTGCGAGACCAGTACGGAAACGATGGCCGATCTGTATAATTATTGCAGAGAGGTCATCATTGAAAGTCTCTACTGCGGTGAGGAAGTGCGGCAGATTGGTGGGGCCAACTACAGCGTCGAGGTCGACGAAGCCAAATTTGGAAAGCGAAAATATAATCGTGGGAGGGTGGTCGACGGCCAGTGGGTGTTCGGCGGCATTTGTCGAGAGACCAAGGAGTGCTTCCTTGTCCCTGTACAAGACCGCACCCAGGATACCCTCATCAGTCTGATCAAGAAGCACGTCGCTCCAGGTACCATAATCTACAGCGATTGTTTCAAGAGCTACGAGTGCCTGGAGCGAGAGGGTTTCCGACACCTGACCGCCAACCACACGGAGAATTTTGTTGACCCGCACACCGGCGCCCACACCAACACCATCGAATCTACCTGGTGGGCAGTGAAGAGGAGTTTGCGGTCATCTCACACCCAGAAGCAGCACTTCGCTGCCCACCTGGCGGAATATATTTGGCACCGGCAGAACGCAGACGCCAAATGCAAGTTTGTACGATTCCTGAAGGAGATCACCAAGGTTTACCCAGGACTGGATGCATGAAAAGGTAGGTGATTTATATCTAATTCTAATGCTATCGCTACCCTACCCCTACCTAAATGTGAGAAAATAGGGGCCTTATTGCCCCCCCCCCCCCATGGGATTCCAAATCAACCTAGTTTTGAGAAAAGAAAGCCCCCCTATAACCCCCCCCCCTTCCCCATGGGATTCTGTTATGTAAATAGGGGGGCAAGTCCCCTATAACCCCCCCCTCCCCATGGGATTCTGTATTAGAAATAGGGGAGAAAATAGGGGGGCAAGCCCCCCTACATCCCCCCCTTCCCCATGGGATTCTGTTATAATGTAAATAGGGGGGCAAGCCCCCCCTATAACCCCCCCCCCCATGGGATTTTATATTGTGAATGGTTTCGTATTACCCCTAACCCTAATTCTAACCTTAGCCATATCCCTAGCCCTTGCCCTAACACTAACACTAACTAACCTTAATCCTACCCCTACCCTTAACTCAGAATTCTCTATTCTACCTGTTTCATAGTGGTCGCTCGTTATTTATTGGAGGATTAATCAAAGTGAAAATTTGGCTGGAAACCGACGAAAACCTGGCAAACCAGCGCTCCCGAAGAGCGGAAGTTGATAAAGTATGCGGGGTCAACAATGGCTGCGCCCTGAGTAAATTCTACTAATTCCCGACTCAGATCTTCAAACGAAGTGATTATTCGGACTCGAGTCCGAATATGAAAAAATGTTATTCGGACTCTGATTCTTGTCCAGCATGACATCACTTCCGACTTCCTGTGACTCGTGAATCCGGCTTCCTGTCCTGCCTCACTCGTGACTCGCCTCAGGCTGGGTAGAGACCGGGATCACTTCGGGCAAAAAGGCGTTTTGTGCAGGAGCCGAGTTTTAATCTTATGATGAATTTGAGGCCGGCCTGAAAAGTAATAGCGCTTCTAATAAATGTTTATTTATCAAGAGGTCATCAGAAACAATTAATTAAAGATGGCTCGTTAGCATGTGTCGGGGTCGGATGGGCGGCCTGCACACGTGTGGCTGTGTGCGTGTCAGGGAGGGTGGTGGGGGGCACTATTGGTCCGGGCTTTGAACGTCGCATAAGCGTCGGTCTTTTCCCCCCTGGCAACTTATCATTATTACAATAATAAGCTAGTTTTGACGTAGATCTACGTAATGAATACGTAATGAATTGTGCGCTGGTCTATGGAATCAAAAGTTGCCGTATGCTCGGCTCTACACAGCAACACAACTTTTTCTTGGTAAACAATCGATATGACACAGGCTTGTGTATTTGAACGAATCGGTCTTTTTTTTTTTCGAAGTGACTATTTCTCCGAACGTTCGGAGAAATAGTGCCGATCTTTATTTCTCCGAACGGTTTTCGGCTTCCGGTCTCGTGATTTTTTGCCTATTTATTGCGAGAGTTCGGCGCCAACTTTCATTCTGCCTCTGGTCTGGGAAGGAACACGTACCGCATGGCAAGCCCGCCTACAGACAACCTTCAGTAACACCCACCACACACCCACCACCATCATGCACATGTACACACACTAACTAAACATAACTAGTGGGCAACTTTTGAACGTATGACGAGCTGAACTGTGGATGGAGAGACAGTGTGAGTGAAAGAGCGGGTGAAAGGAAGAATGTGCGAGTGTATCCACAGACGACAGCAACTAAAAGACGACGACACTGACCACCCCTGGCCTGGTCCACAGCTCACGAACAAAAGGAATGCAGCTCAGGCGGTGTTTTGCCTATATTATTGTCCATGGTTCGCAGGGAACAAGTGAGATTTTCTTTGTGTGTGCCTGGAGGGATGGGGTGGGGTATGAAAGTCATGCGGACGGGGATGAGCCGCGGGAGAGAACACGGGAATTGAATGAAAGAGTGAAACTGAAAGAGACGAATGACTCATGAGTCCTGGAGTGAATGGATCCTGTGTTTCTATTTTTGTATACTTTGAACTGTTACTGAATAAAGGCTGAAATAAAGCCCGAAAAACAAACAAACACACACACACACTCCTCACTCTCCACTTACTACCACACACAGACACACTCAAACACTCACACATACATACACACACACACACACACACACACACACACACACAGGAGCAAATTTTTGGGTCTATATCTATTTAAATTTTCAACAGCTAGTCTAGATGAGATTTTTAGATGAGTGTAAAAACGTGAAAAAGAAAGGTTTCATAACAGAAAGAAATCAAAATTAGAACAGCCCATAAACAACAACAAACAATAACAAATAAGGGCGTGTGTCCACCTGTCCGAAGAAGATTGGCAGTTTTAACCCTAAATGTGCGTAATTTAAAAAAAAGTACAGGATATTACATGTAAATTATGGAATCACACACATTAAGGGGCTTGCCAGTGTCAGTACATTGGTCGCAGCAGTGACAAACGCAGATGCCAGTTCTATGTGTCGTTATCAATAACCCTCCGTAGATCTAGATCTAGACAGCACACGAGTGAACACAACACATTACGTTTAAAAGCAGCACCTTTCATAGGCAACACGTCATATCTATAGCGAAAAACTGTTTGGAATTGTAGCATTTCTTTATATAAATATTTACGGCGGACATTTTTTGGACCGATTGAACCATACTGTATACGAACAATCTTTGGTAGGCCCATACTATAATTATAGATCTATATAATATCCGAAATTTGGGGGAAAGGATGATATTTCAGAGTGTTCGGAGAAATAGTGCCCAGCTTTATTTTCCTGAACGTTCGGAGAAATAGTGCCCAGCTTTATTTTCCCGAACGTTCGGAGAAATAGTGCCCAGCTTTATTTTCCCGAACGTTCGGAGAAATAGTGCCGGCCTTTTTTTTTACACAGCTCATAATATGCCAGGTGGTCTGCTAATCTTCAATTTTACCTTTTTCTACAACAATGAAAGTGGGAAACGTGGGGGGGCATATCAATGAGGCGGCGGGCATTGGAGCGGCAGATAAGGTGTGGGGAAAACTTAAAAAAGGCGGAAAATTGGAAGCACTGAACGTTAGATCTATAGAACGAAGACACTTCCTTTTTTCCGGACCCGAGTCCGAATAACATTTTTTCATATTCGAACTCGAGTCCGAATAAGAATTTTTTTTATTCGGACTCGAGTCCGAATATGAAAAAATGTTATTCGGACTCGGGTCCGAATAACGACGGCCATCTTCAAATGGTTGAACAGGGCCTAAAACTCAAACTGCGCAAACGACCGTAATTTTTTCCTGTCCAGGTAGATCTAGTATAACAGTGGCTTTCGGTCTCCCATAAGTATTGTGGTGCTCAACAAGTTAAATCTTGAATAAATAGTGGTCGCTCGTTACGGAAGTCCTCCCTGAAATAGCCATGTAGCATCTTTGAAGACGATCAAATTAGCTTACTTTTGTCTATAACGTAAGGAATTTTTCTTGGCTTTGATCAATTTGATCATCCACACCGATAGAAAGTATTCCGAAATGAGGAAAAAACAGGTCTTGGGTGAGAATAGCCTACGCTGGCAAGTCTCACGCGGGGTGACATGTAGATCGTATTTTTATTCTCACCCCGGGTGAGAATAGCCACTTCCATACTAGATCTACTACTAGATTTTTCTTCTTCTTCTTGTGTTCCTCCTCCTGCTACCGCCCGGTTGCCATTTAGCCTACCGTGTACGTAGACACTGAGGCCAGCGGAGGTGCCCGGTTACCGTGTACGTAGACACTCCGTTCCCTGAATTGTGGAAGCTTTCTCAGTTTCTTGATATAAATTTGCGATAGATCTAGGCTACTTAGGCTCTAGGCTCTAGGATTTGACTCCTTTTTTTATTGACGTTGTCTTATTCCGATCATTATTGGGTATATATCTAATCTAGATCTAGAATCTAGATCAGACTCTATAGTCTAGATATAGAATCTAGATCTAGATCTGGCAGCGCAGCAGAGGGCGGAGTGAAACTCAGAACTCAACAAATGTCAACATGGGCATTGCAGAGCAGAGGGCGGAGGAGTGAAACTCAGAACTCAACAAATGACAAATGTCAACATGGGCATTGCAGAGTTCAACTGGGTTTCTCTCTCATATTGAAAGCAAGTAGACAAATTTCTGTATCATACCTCGTCGCCAATAACGGCAATTAGTTTTCCTCTTGCTGCCGATATAGCCATTTTTGCTTGATATATTTGTTGTAGGCTCAGGTAGGCTACACAAGTGACTACTTCTCAGGACCCACTCACAGGACTCAGGTCTCAGACTCAGTCATATGATTTTATCACAACATGTGTCAGGTCTTATCGCGTTTGCACGTCATTTTGTCAATAATGGTATGATGATGGATGAGCTCCATAGTGTAAGCTTTTCAGGTGCATAAGGTTTTTAATTTATCATCAAAAGATATAAGGCAATAAACTTTTACTGTTATAGTTTATATAGAAATTGTTGTAACTGTTACTAGATCTACTAATTTACAGAAAAGCAGAATAAAAACAGCCTTCTTGGCATTCTAAGGACAAGGGATATCACTCTGATCTACACTGTCTATCTAACCGTCTTCCTGTTTTGTGTTTTTCCTGCAAGATTCGCGTCATCACAAGGCTATAGATCTAGATCTATTCAGATCAAGAATCTACCACTGCCACTGAAACGTCTGCTGAGTTCTGGGAATGTCTTTTCTCGCGATTGCATCAGAAGAGATATCAGTGCTGTAACTGGCTACCCAGTAACTTACACACTTGCGTTCTAAATGTAGGTCTACTAATTAGTAGTCTGGATTAGTAGATATCTACTAGCCTACAAAATGAGCCGTGCCGTAAAATTTCACTTGTTTTTCCCAAGCCAAGAAGGCAAGGGGGTTTGCCCCCCTGACAAAACATGGACCATGATGGCATTGATGGGGTCCCCCCTGAATTTGACCTCGATTCGATGTTTGGCAAAATTAGGTTTGAAAGGCTGTCTCTCCATATCAACACACGAATCAAAAAGTAATTGTTTAGACTTATAACCAGAAGTAGATCTAATCGTTGTTGGGGTCGAAACTAGATTCTAGATCTAGATTAGATTTTCTGTGGACTCTGGGTTACATTTCCCTGTCACAAAAGTCGGGACCACCTCTAGATATAGGGGGGAGGACTTCCGTAATGAGCGACCACTGTGAGTGATAAAAGTAGGCCAGGCCTAGAACTATTCTTCCACTTGTTCTCTAGATCTACTTTCACTTTCGGTTTCTCTCTGTCACTCGACACTTGATATAAAGATCAGATTTAGATCTAGATTATCTAGATCTAGACGTCTAGATATATATAGATCTATATCTAGCTGCTCTCCCTCCCTCTTTGCTTTTATATTTATCTTGGGACAGAAACAAAACAGACCTTTTGCTTAACGTCAGGATTTATGAGACATACACATGGAAGTGGCTATTCTCACCCGCGGTGAGAATAGAAATACGATCGACCTCTCACCCCGGGTGAGACTTGCCACCGTAGGCTATTCTCACCCGGTGTGAAACAAGACCTGTTTTTCCTAATTTCGGAATACTTTCTATCGATGTGGATGATCAAATGGATAAAGGCAAAGAAAAGATTACGTTATCTATATATAGCACAAAAAAGTAAGCTATTTTTATCGACTACAAAGATGCTATGGCTATTTCACTTTTCGAATCGAGCCGGACTATGGGGGTCGCCATTTTGTTTTGCCCGGAAGTTCTCGCATGATCTACTCCTCCCCTCTTCTCTCTCTCTATCTCTTTCTGTATACTGTCTATCGGTGTGGACGATCAAATTGACCAAAACAAATTTATTTTAAAAATGATGTTAAAACACAAAAGTAAATTAATTTGGTCGTCTACAAAGATGCTACGGCTATTTAACTTTTTGAATCGAGCCGAACTACGCGGGTCGCCATTTTGTTTTGCCTGGAAGTTCTCGCGCTAGGCCCACTCCTCTCTCTCTCTCTCTCTCTCTCTCTCTCTCTCTCTCTCTCTCTCTCTCTCCTCTCCTCTCTCTCTCTCTCTTTCCACTGCCAACAGACAAAATTGTACGCTTTTTTTAGTAGGCTAACAGTGGTAATGGAACGTTTGTTCACGGCACAGAATTCTAACAATTTTTCTGTTATCACAGTGTAGAATTCTGTGTTTTAGGGTGAACGCAAAATTGGTTGGCCTAGCCTAGATCTAGGCTAACGCCACTAACGGTGAACGCGCACCGGGTGAGAATAGCCAAAAGACTCACCTGCACTATTTTCACCCGGGGTGAGAATAGAGGTGGCCCATACACATACCTGTTATGATTTATATATATCTATAGACAAAAACTATAGTAAAGTTAGGCGACTAAAACAGTCATCATATAATTTGTAGGACTGTCAATCACACAACAAATGAGGTAAGGAAGTTTTGGTTAAGTTTATTTCAGCGGTTCTTGTTTCCCAACAGAAGAGCTCTGAAAAATAAAAGCAGCAACCTGGTAAACCGTCTTTGACTTTCAAGAAAGTGAAACAAACACTTCTATTTCTATTTCATTGCCCCCCCCCCCCCCAAAACCCCCGAGCTTTTGTGGGTGTCATAAGGAAGGCCCCCCCCAAAAAAAAACCCAACCCCAACAACAACAACCAAACAAACAAAACAAACAAACCCCAATCAACTAGAGCCCCGCAAAACTGGTTATGTTATCTTTTTATATTACGTAATCGGAGATTATTGTTACGAAACGAAAGTAGGAAACCGAAAGTTGAACTAATGACACTTTGAGTACACTTTCTGTTGTCCGGTTGACTTTTTTTCAGAGTTGCAGAAAATGGACTCACTTGGTAAAAATACTGGCAGGATGAAGAGGTAAATGCGGGGAATAATATTGCTCTGTCATCTCTTGAACTTTAAAGACTTTTATAGCTTTTATTTGAGGGGTAGGGTTAGGATTAAATTAGGATTGGGGTTAGGGGTAGGGTTACGGATAGGGGTAGGGGTAGGTCTCTTCTTTATTGTGTTTGTTGGGACGGTCGCTCGTTACAAAAGTGTTTCCGATATACGATCTAGATCTAGATGATTTCACACTTGCGGCTAACTGCTGCCCGTCAGCCATGCCATGCTCTACTTGATTGGCAATATCTAGATCTAAAGGTTTCCGTGTTAATTAACATATTCGAATTCTGGTAGTGATGCTTGAAATATAAACACTGTAAACGCAAAGACAATAATATAAAGTGTGTGAAAATTGCAGTAAAGACGCCAGAAGATTAAGCCCCTCCCCTCCCCTGGGCGCTTTAAACAATGCGCTGACGCAATAGAGATAGCAGGTGCATCATTGAAGCACAGCATCATATCACATTACCGATATATATATGTTCTTGGAAAAACATCGCACCGAAGCACCGTGCCATCAAAGATTCTCTACACAATCTTTAGTGCCATGCGGTCAACTATATTTAGATGTAGTCATGTGATCGGAGGTGTATCCTGTCTGATGTCACACAAGATGGCCACCTTGCCCCAAAATAGTTTGCGTCGTTCTTTGTTTAGTTGCATGCATTCTCAACCGGTATTCCCAACCGGTGTTGGGGATTGTAGAATTTGCCCAGATTCTCAACTGTTGTTGGCCGTTGGGAGCTTCTACTCTTTCCGGAAATATCGCCGATTTATCAGCGCGAGTCCATACCCCTTGCGGACGTATCGCCGATCGCCTGTGACAGGGTGCCTCTGTATTGTTTCCTTTTAACTTTAACACGATCTGTTATTTTATAAAATTACTTTTTATTACTATTAAAAAACTCGGAAAGGATTTAGGAAACAAAAACATCTAGTTTCACTTTGTCAAAAGTGTGGGTTTGTGGAAAAACGAGTGAATTAATAGTTCTTGCGGTCTTGCATCAACAAAACGATGTAATCGGACTCAGTATAAATATAATTATAACTTAAACTAAAATTGGAATATATATATATAATTGCTTTCAAATAAAAAGCTGCACATTCAGAAAGTTAAAGATTACGCTCTTGGCTTTTATATATATATATGATAAGATAGCTATGCTGATTTGCTTTCACATGTTTGGTGAATGTAATTTTTTCAAAATTTATTTTTCGCATCACCATTGCCATTTCTAACCCTTCAGGGCTCCCCTTTACGCACAAGTTTTATGTGCGTATATTACGCATGAAACCTGCAAATTACCCCCTTTAAGTTTTGGTGTTGCGTGAGCTTTACTCTTGAAAATTTCGTTTCGTAGGTTTGCATACGCTTTAAAACGTAGGTGGTGTGTGTCTGGCAATCATCATTTCCCCCCTTCTCTACCCCGAAGCCGTGTCACTGATTTAACAACACACCCACACACATAACACCGCAGTCACGTTTTGTCTGTTACTGTGTGTCAGAAGCAGTCGACCTAGAATCTACTTATAATCATCTGCGCGCAGTTCCCGGCGACACCTGCTTGCTTGAACACAGAGAAGCTCCGCCCACATTCTGGTCGCTTGCATTATACAGTATTTGCCGGTGTCGTGCCTTGAGTTTACCCTAGCGTGAGATTACCCCCTTCCTTCTTTAAAACACATTAGATCTAGTAAACATGAATTGTCCACCATACGACTGGAATGGCTCTGAAGAATAATTGAATTAGTTTATTTTCGAAACCTGCCACAAATCCAGATGTAATCGGGATATCCAGATTTTTTGGCCCCAAATTTCAAGCATCTTGATTTTCCCAATTTTGATTTTTGCGTGTAACCCGATTTTTTTTTTGTTTCGTTTTTTGTGCCGGATTTTTCTACAATCTTACTCTGTCTTCTTTTCTATCGTTGGAAGCACTCGTTAAACTTTTTGTCTGCAGAAACTCGAAGCACAATTTTCCTAAATGTCGATGCCGGATTTAGTATTTGTTTTGGATCTTTGCACGCCCGTGTTGTTTCAAGTACATGTATAATGGAAGTAGTATTGGTTTGGCATTCCGACGAGACATTCTCAAGACCTAGGCCCTTTAGTTTAAATTTCGACGCACTAATGATCAATATTATTCGTAGTTCTGCTATTACTTTCACTTTCAAAACAAGCTTTGTCCAGGTTCTGGTTAGTCGGGCCCGTCATCAAGACCCTTCAGTAAAATTCTTTCAATCGCACTTTCGCACCACGTGACATGACTCCCACCTAAGTGAGTTCCGCGTGTATTGGGGAGCATCCGCTGACAGGGTCAATTTAAATTCATTCACAGCGGCTGAAGCGTCTTTCGGGACTTATTCGCGTTTAAAACTCTTAAACTAAGAAAGCTTGACGTGATACTTCAGGATTAAAAAAAAATAATGGTAAAACACACACAGGCACGCGTATGCACACACACTCACTCACATCCCTGGAAATTTTTAAAGTCAGTTTGGCAGTGACCTTGGTGATTTGTCGTTGATCCCGATTTTTTTCACCAAATCCCGATTTGTTCCCCCCTCTGAGATCCTGACTTTTATTTTTAAAAGTTTTAGTAGAGGTTTTACGGCGCTCTCTACTGCATAAGGTCATATGAACGCCAAGGGGTGGATGTCAACAGAGAAGTCCTTACAGGGAATCAGACTTACTCTGCTCACCTCTCTAGCTTCAACAGCACAAAGTCTGCTTCGACTATCAAGGCACCCCGGAAATAGCGGGTAACAAGAGTGTGACAAACATACAAAAGAAGTAGAGGAAATGACGACTGTAAGGATTAGGAAAGAAAAAGCAGCATGATGTTAGATCAGCCCGATTACAATTCTACTGTGCACTAGAACAAGAAATGTCGTTCCCCCCCCCCCCCCCCCCCCCCTTTGGGAATGGCCTAAAGACACTTCAGTCAGTGGCACCGCCCCAGGGGGTGATCCTCACTTTTAGATTTTATAGATTGGCAGGTCCGATTTTTCTTTGTGCATTACAGTCGGAATTGACCCCTTTTGGTTTGTCAACTTTATTTTATTTTTGATTGGCTCAACCACCACCGCCCTTCCCCCCTCCAAATGGACACAACTGTAATTGTAGTCAATATGTTATTAGGTATACTATTAATAGTGAGGAAGTGTCTCCTGAAACCAATCTAGGCAGGGGGGCCTTGAAAATATTTAGCGGTGCAAGTGCATGCGTGACCTCACGAGGCATTAAAATTACTACTAGATCTAGACATCTAGATTCTAGATTTTGGTAACCGGTCATTTCGTCACACGGTCATCCCGTCACACCCCATTACATGTGACGAAATGACTTCGCTGTACAAACGGCCACTTTCCATTTCCCCCCTTGCATTTTTTCTATACAATTTAAATGTGTAAAATGGGCACCTGTCCAACGCGGCCGTGACCACCATATTTTAACGCACAACCCCTTTAACACCAAACAAAAACACCTGTCTTAGACGGCCATCTTAGTGACTCCATTACGTTTTGTCATAAATTATGCTTGGCCCCTGGTGTTGTTGGCGAGCCGTCATAATCCAATCACCTGTCGTTGTTGTGGGTAGTCCCGCCAACCGATCATGTTGCGTAGACCCCTCCCACTGTTGACCAATAGGTACCAATTTTCAGTTGCTGGTGAGGTAAGCGTGTGATCCCTCATTATAACTATAAGCCCCGCCCAGAACTCAAACACAAATCGTAAGTGAGATGAGTGGTCACTGTTTATCGAGTCTGTAACAAAATAACAATGGGCGTCAACATGAACTTGTGACAGAAGCGTCGCTCTTTCTCCAAGTGGTGGCGACCCATTAGTTTGTTTTAACATGGCACTCGGTCTTCCTCGTCTGATACATTTTGTTTTATTTTCACCCTTTTGCAAAATCAGCAACCAAATAAAAATAACAAACAAAATACAAACCAACAACAACAAAAACAACATGGGAATGGTTTGTTTTCTTCATTTTGATCCGTCCTTCCTAAGACGGTCACCTGTCTTATACTGCCACTTTTTTCCTTGACAATGGGTGGCCGTCTTATACTGGTTTAACTGTAATGTGCTCTAAAGCCCCGATCAACACTATATTATGTTTCCTTTCCTCAATTTAAAAAGCTTGAATGGCTTTAAACAGCCCCACAGTTTATGACTAGGCCTACAAGCAGCTATAATAAGGAACTTGGCTTTACGAGACCAATTCATTTTTGTGGGGCATATAGGTTTTCCTTTTTCTCCTAATTTCACCACGCTGCATCACAAATTTTTCATGTAATCTAATGACCGTAAAAGTAGCCCCAAAGATCGTCTTTACAGGACCGTAAAAATATCCCCAGAACCTTCTTTACGTGACTAAAAAATAGTCACTGCGTAAAAAGAAATTGTTCTGTTTTACTTTCTCTCAATTTTATGCTTAAAATTTTCTCTAATTAATATTAGGCCAAATTTATTGAAGGGTTCTCATACTCATGGTCATATAGAGTCTAGTACTAGTACTATTTATTGTACTTTTTATCGTTGTTCATTCTTTGATGTGATACTAATAATATTATTATAACCCAGGGCATTCCAGAATCCATGGATTTAACAGCTTACCCCAGTCAGCCTTTCCAGTGACATGGCTTTCTAATGTGTACAATTTTGATTTTTCAATGAAATTCAATTTTTTTAAAATGTAGGCTGCTGTATAAGTATAGGATAGGCGCCTAATACATTGTTTTAACAAATACAATGTGATACAGAGGTTTCATTTCTCTATTATTAATTGTTCTTTTATGTACTCTTAGCAAAATAGCTTCTAGGCTAAGGTAAATAAATCCAAGATTTTAAATTAAAAAAAAAATTTACTTGTGAAAATGATGTTTGAGATTGAACTCTGAGCAGAGAACGTTCTCAGAAAAGAAACATTCTCATGATTCTGGTAACTTGCTCAGCAGATCCTGTCTTCACCCATATCTGGCACCTCAGACCGTTTCTTTCGAAAAAAAAAGTCAAATCTATTGTAGATATATTCTGTTAGAACAGTTCATTGCGGAGCACCACTGGCTGTTCTGGCGTCTTTTAACTATAAGATGATCTACTTCTACCGTTTCGTATACTCATAGCCTAGATCTACTTCATCATGTCACTCAACATGTTCAACTCACTGCCGCTTTCCATTCATAAAAATCTTAATTCTCAACTCAGTGTGTACGAAATGTGAACAAAAACCAGTCAAAACAATTACTAAACAGTTTACATGAAAAAAGACAAGGCAAAACTGTCATTATAATGAAAATCAAAAGAGGCCTTGATCTACTTCAGCGAGTTGAACAGCGCGCTCTTTCTTCCTGTCATTTGTTTACGCTTTATACGAGCAAGTTCAATTTTAAATATTAGCCACTTGTATGATATACAGAAACAAAGTGGAAATAATGATCTATCTCAACATACTGTTAAAAACGATCATTCTTCAACCTAAGATTTCAGATTTGATTATTTATTGCAAAATTAGGTGTGGATTTGAAAAAGGAAGTGGAGAGCCGTGTAACATGGCTCGCTGTCCAGTGCTCGGGGTGGGGGTAACCCGAGCCGTGAAACATGGCTCGCTGTCCAGTGCTGGGGGTGGGGGTAACCCGAGCCGTGGAACATGACTCGCTGTCCTGTGCTGGGGGTGGGGGTAACCCGAGCCGTGAAACATGGCTCGCTGTCCTGTGCTGGGGGTGGGGGTAACCCGTGAAACATGGCTCGCTGTCCAGTGCTGGGGGTGGGGGTAACCCGAGCCATGGAACATGACTCGCTGTCCTGTGCTGGGGGTGGGGGTAACCCGTGAAACATGGCTCGCTGTCCTGTGCTGGGGGTGGGGGTAACCCAAGCCGTGAAACATGGCTCGCTGTCCTGTGCTGGGGGTGGGGGTAACCCGAGCCGTGAAACATGGCTCGCTGTCCTGTGCTGGGGGTGGGGGTAACCCAAGCCGTGAAACATGGCTCGCTGTCCTGTGCTGGGGGTGGGGGTAACCCAAGCCGTGAAACATGGCTCGCTGTCCTGTGCTGGGGGTGGGGGTAACCCGAGCTGTGAAACATGGCTCGCTGTCCTGTGCTGGGGGTGGGGGTAACCCAAGCAGTGAAACATGGCTCGCTGTCCTGTGCTGGGGGTGGGGGTAACCCGTGAAACATGGCTCGCTGTCCTGTGCTGGGGGTTGGGGTAACCCAAGCCGTGAAACATGGCTCGCTGTCCTGTGCTGGGGATGGGGGTAACACGAGCCATGAAACATGGCTCGCGGGAGTGAAAGAGTTAACTGTTAATTTACTGAAGATTTAAATTTAAGACATTATATTATAAGTCGGTCTTGAGATCCCCAGCAAATGATTACAATTATAAGAAATTGTTACATTTTTCTAGGTTGAGCTTTTTCAACTTAAAAGCCTTGGTGGGATTGTGGATTTGACTTTTGCACCCAGCCTCACCTTTCAATCTTCTTTACAGTCCCTTACCTGTTCTGGCTCGATTATATTATTCTGATTGCCATGTCCACAGTTCATATCATTAGACATAACTTCACCTAACAGGCCCCTTTGATTTTCAATTAGAAATGCACAAGATTAGGGGATGTTGGTCATGAAATAACCCTTTTCAGTTTTTACAACTTATTTTCCTACTCCAAGCAATTTAGTTTGTATTATATTTAAGTTTTCTGTATATATTTAAAATAATATATTGTTGTATCGTAGCCTTTTTTTTTTACTGTGGTCCAAAATTTTTAACTCACTAAGCTTTTATAATTTTACTAGAATAATATTTTCTGGATTTTTTTTTTACCCTCAGATCACAGGACTGGAAACAGAAATATTTGTGGTCTTTCCTTTCTTAGTACAAAAATTGAAGGATCGAAGTCTTGTAAAATAGACGATGCATGTCAGACACCGATGACAAGGAGTGATGTGGTGAAGTTAAAAATGTTGGTGGAGTAATCAGTGCGTCATGCCTCTAATTGAAGGCCTGGGTGACGAGGTCACCCTTGTGCTGGGAGGGTTCCTGCTGTGTGTCATTCTGATGCTGGCATGGTTCTCCACGCACACGTCGGAGATCCCGCTCCTAAGGGAGATGGGGGTTATCGTGGTGGAGCTGAGCCAGCGCAGGAACAGAGCCACAGAGCCTGCCCAATCGGAGAATCGAGAACGTGCAAGTCCAGAAGGGCAGGATGATAGCGTTCCTGACAGTAGCTTCGGGGAAGGGAGGTCGGAGGAGGATGTGTCAGTGTCTGATTGGTCAACGGATGGAGTGCAGACAGACACTGTGAGAAATTCTGGAACATCGGTTGTGCCCACTGGGGCTACCCCTGCTGAAGGAACAACGATCAAATCTTCGTCATCATCTTCGGAAGCGTCTTGTCCCTCTCAGCAAAGCAATGCTGGTGCTACAAATTCAGCTGTTTCTCTTCCTACTGCTGCCGAGATGGTCACAGCTGAATGTGAACGCCAGCACCGAGATAAGGATGATATCCAAGGTGACAATCAGTTTTGTAATAGAAGTGCAGAGAAAATGCCACAATCTACAGATGGCCCAGTACCGGTTGCAACAGCTGTGGTAGATGAGAGTGGGAGGCTGGAGGGCTCTGAACTTCTTGAACATCCAAGTGAGGAGGAAATTAGGAGGAGAAGAGTGCAATATTTCCAGACGTCTTCTCAGTCATCCATCCCTCTTTCTGACATAATAGGTGATTCACCCATTGCTGGACAAAGGATGCCAGCTTCTCAGACTCCTAGTGAACGTGCAGATGAACTGGTCTCTTCTACTCCCTCCCAGACCTCACACCTCTGTGATTCAATGGACGCTGTGAAGGAACCTGTCACAAACTCATCGAGACCTATTGCATCATCATTGTCTGATGGTGATGATCAGATTGACAGATTACCTGGTGATAGTCGTCAGCTTCAGGGTGCTTCTGTGGCTTCTTCTTCTTCAGATTGTGGTGATGGTGGGGTTTCCACGTCGGACCCATCTCCGCAGACGGGTTTTGTTAATGGGACAAATGAAGCACCTTCTAATGACTCACAGTCCTCCAGGATTCGAGTGAAGCTCAAGTACATGAATGAGACACAACGACTTGTCCATGCCAGCCCAATGGACACCATCGGTGACTTTCGAAGGTGAGAAGCCATCCTTGAGTTGAAGGCAGATTATCCACTTAACATTGAAAAGTCACTTGATCTCTGCAATACTTTTTGTCTGTACTTTATTTTTTCATTTTAATCTAACTGGAGAATGGACATTCATGTAGTCCAATCTATTCATTAAAGAAAGTGGTCATGATGCAATAATGAAAGTGATCTTTTTTTATCTTTTGCTCATCTTCACAATACTGCTTATACTGTTTTAGTGTCTATCAATGGCAGCTTGCACTGTAGGCTTCCCAGGAAGTTGAGATTGTTTCAGAATGCTATAAGTTTTGACGCAGTAATAGTATTGGTTGTACAGTGCACAGGACAGCTTGCTGTTGAGTAGGAATTTGAGCTATACAATAACAAAAATGCTATTTCTAAATTGTTATATACTAGGGAGCGAAAGAAACGCAATATCTTTACCTTTGCAATGGTGATCATGTTCGTTTTCCATTTTTAACAAAACGGGGGTATTTAAATACAAACTGTTTTCTGGCATTATGAAAGGATACGTGGGGCATCTCTGTGAAAATTACATTTTCGCGGATTATGTTTTCAACTTCCGGTTAATGCATCAAAATGCTCAGTAGTGGTTTTGGCTACAATTAGATCGGATAACCGTAGCAGGTCTCTGGTACAAGGAAGCCACTTGGTTGTTAGTAAAATGTTGTGGGCTCTGCCTCAACATCTCTTGGATGGCCACATCCAGTTCCTGCGTGGTTGTCGGCCTTGGTTATATCCCCTCGGTGCGTCTTTTAATTTCATCCTAAAATGCTTAATTGGGTTTAAATCCGTGCTAAGGGCAAGGTGAGGCTGCAGAGTAATGCCATGGTGTTGGAGGAAATCCTGTGTAACACGGGGAGTGTGGGCACTAGCATTATCTTGCTGGAACCGGAAGTTAAAATTTTGACTGTGTAGAGGGGCCTAAGAACCTCTGCTATGCAACGGGCAGCATTGATACCTTGACATCGACCTTGGCTTGATTTTGGAAGATCATTGGTCCTACTCTGTGGTTCCACATGATTCCACCCCAGATAATAACGCAATGTCCTTCCCATTGATTCCTTTCTATGATACAGTTGTCACGGTAACGTTTGCCTTACTCTTGGGTAACTCTGAGGTCCCTGTTTATTGTATCTGTGGAGAACAGGCATTCGTCCAAAAATGAGAACCAAAGACCAGTTTCTCAGATGGCTGTTGACATGGTACTGGGCCCAGTTGAAACGATCTTTGCGACGGTGTGCGGTCAAGACTGGACCGTGGTAAGGTCGAGGGCGTCTAAGGCTTTTCTGACGTAATCGTCGGTTTACTGTGTGTCGACGTATGGCTCTTCCGTGGGTACCCATTATGCAATCTGATGTTCTTGTAGCTGTCTGAAGTCGATTTGAACGATGCATCCGGACCATGTATTTGTATGCACGTGCATCGGTCACTCTGGGTCGACCTGACCTTTTTCGGTCCAACGTAAAATTTGTGAGCTGAAAACAGGTTTTGAGTCTGTGGATAGTCGAGATGTGAACACCAACATGATAAGCGACCACAATTTGCCTTTCTCCACCCTCCAAACAGCCTATTACTATTTCTAGTTGTATAGCCCTTAAACTTGCAGGCGATATGACCGAACTGATTTTTTACCCCGGCTTTTATAGCTGAGCTGAGGAGATTACTTTTCACCCTGTTTTCACTCATTTAGACTGTGTTTTGAAGGCACCACGTGGCTTTTCCATGCTTGAATAAAAGAGCAATAAATCTAGTTGCCGGTGACAAGCAAGACGGGCAGCTTTTGATTTCCAAAGAGGATATAATGATATACTATCGATGGTGTAAACTTCAGTCTTCTACCATTGATGATTATTTAGTTATGTGGCCAAAATAGTTTATTTTTTGCGTTTCTTTTGCTCGCTAGTATAATATTAAAATTTCTGAATGGTCGGTGAAGATCATGTAAAATTATTATCTCACTTCTTCCTTCTGATTTATTGAATTGGATTACAATCAAAGTAGCTCTAGTGGTCACCTGTCCAAGACAATCACCTGTATAATATAAACGACCACTTCCTACTCCCCCCTTGTGTTTTTTTTCTACATGCATCATAATATATTGACACTGTCCAAGATGTCTACTAAGACAACCACTTTTCCTCTCGCCAATGAGTGGCCATCAGACATCTTTGACAATTTTGACTGTCCTTTGTTTGTTGCATTCTTTGTTTATTCTTCAACATTTAAAGAAAATCTAAGTGGAAGGCTCAAGGCATCCATGATTCTTTCCTTTTCTTTTGTGTTGTATCTGTCTATGTATAGTATGTATAGTATAAGGTTTTACGGCGCTCGCAACTGTATCTGTCTTGATTTTTTTTCTATGCTGTAAATAGTGATTATCATACTTTTTAAAAACTTCTTCCCATGACTGAAATGATCATTTCAAAATTTACTAATTAATATAAACTATAATGGAAATCAAATTATTACGCTCAAAGTTGTTTGCTGTCTCTTTGTGGGAGGTTTATTCTTTTTTTTAATGATGGGATATCTACTGTAAAACCACAACTCTGCAGCTCTTTCATTTGAGATTTAGTTTCTCAGGGTTCCCTTGACACCTCAATCTATTTTTTTCGTGGCTTTCCTCTTCCTATGGTCCCTAAGGCTCTTGATTTAGGTTTCTTTTTTCTAAAAAAGCAGGGGGACTCCATGCGAGCAGTTGCTCATATCTTCATTTCTCTGCCTGTCTCTTCTGTGATGTTTAGGGTTAAGTGGAGATATTTAATCTTGCATGACGTTATTTTGCTTTTATGGGTCATTTACTTAATGTTCAGGTCTGGTATTGGTAGCATGTTGGTGTAAATATTGAAGTGAATAAGCTGTCTCATTGTGTCCATAGAGCAGATCTTTGGGTAAGATAGAAGGGGTGTGAGCCAAAAAGTATGGTGTTGGCTTTTTGAGTTTATCTATTTTTCTATGGACCTGTTTTCAGTAAAAATGCTACCTAGTTATTTGTTATTCACATGAATGTTGTGGGGAGTTTCCACTAATTTTAATACTTCTGTTTTTTATGTGTTTTTTGCGTGTCAGATTTCTCACAGTTGTTGTACTGGTGTCTCTGGTGTAGCTGTTCGGCACTTCACTGTCGCACACAGGAAACCCAGCAAGTTCGAATCTCATGAGGGGAGAAATTTTTATCAAGCATCTTTCTGCTGTGTTTGTTACTCTCTTGTAACACCACTAATCTTCTGCACTTATATGACCTTATTGTGATACAAGTGTCGTAAAACTCTTGCTAAAACAGAAGCATTTCGGTTTTGATTGTGATGCAATTTCTTTTTTCACTTATGGATTGATGACTTAAATGTTTCGTTTGTCAAAGAAGGAATAATTTGATGTGCTGGTTTTTATTTTGCGTGCACTTTCGCAAGAGGTCCTTAACTTTTTGTGAAGACTGTATGAAGACAGTGTCGCCTTCCTTGTTGTTCTTTATAGTTTTAAAAAAAATTGCTGTTGTAATGCAAATACAGCGTAGCGTATCTTTTTCCTTTGCAGAATCTGAACCGAGCTTTGCTCATGTTTCTCTGTGCAATAGGCCTCCTTCGTTCCATTATTCATGTGTACACTTTCCCTATGCTATGTGGTTTATTAAAGAGATGCCTCTGTTTGTAGTACAATCACGTTTTTTGCCTTTCTTCTTTCATATTATATTGGTGACACTACGCCCTTCTGCCAATATATTCTGGGCATTTCCTTTGTTCCCAGACTTTGTTTAAAGTTCGCCTCAGCCATTGCACACCTGTGATACCATGAACTCTTTTTTATTTATGGCTTTTGAGTATTATGATGTCATCAGGTCCAGGGGCTTTGTTCTTTGGGATAGGATTAAACTTTTCAGTGCATTTTCGCCTTCCCTGGAAAGTTTGGTTGGTTCTGTTTGCTCTGCATATATATATATATATGCTGGTTTGAATTGTCCTTGTTGTCCGTGATAATCAACATCTGGGTTGAGAAGTTCTGGAATGTAGTTTTCTCATCTTATCTTCATAACCTCCTTGCTGAGAATGGCCTTTCATTCTTTGTCGTTTATGACGCATGTCGGGTTGTATGGTTCTTTCCTTATATGCCTGTTGTTCACACTTTTAAAAAACTCGCTAGGAATCTGGAATCTGAAAATGTTTGTGAGTTTCATGGCATTTAATCTCTTTCCATGGGTTTTGTTTAGCAGTTTTGATATATAACTGTTTTTGTGTCTCTTCTCTGGTTTTTTACTTCTACCATGTAATCTTATTTTTCATTTTGATTGCTTCTTTAGCTCCATCATCATTCCTCCAGCATGTTTCTTGTCTTTATTTTTGCCTATTCACTTGGCTCAACAACTGTTTTTTAGTCTTTTTTATAGGAATTTAAAAAATGGTTTTAAAAATTCTTTTATAATTATTCCCTATTAAAATTCTCAAAACACCACAGGACCCACTTTCAGCCAGAGCTGCAGGAGAACAAGTGGGTCCGCTTTATCTACAATGGCCAGGATCTCCGAGATGACGCACGTACATTGCAGGCATGTAATATCAGTGACAATTGCACCATGCACTGTCTTATCACTGCCCACACACGGCCGACGGCTCCTCGGGACATGGTTGGCGATGAGGAGGGGGAGGATTCTGTTCTAGGAGCTCTCATGTACCCTCTCTTTACCCTCGTCCTGCTCATTGTCTGGTACTTCAGATTCACATACAGGTAAAAACTATAGAATTCTGCTTGATCTTTAAAAGAATATGACTGATTGTTGTAGTATTGCTCATA